ATATAATAACAGTAATAACAATAATATAAAATAAACTGTCCCAGGTGTTGGGATAGGCTCAGCAGCATACACACCTTAGTGCAAAGTTGTGTGTCAGTATTAATAAAAACAATACAAAATGAACTGTCCCAGGTGTAGGGATAGGCTCAGCAGCAGACATTGTTAACAGTGGCAACTATAGGGAGGAAGACCTGTTGGCTTTCACTAGCTGGGAAAGCACTTCCAGAAACCCATTCTGAAAAGTGGTTTGTCGCTCATCCTGCACCGACACTTCATCCTGGTGCTCCATCTGGTGAGCATCTTGTCCTCCGTTTCCTGGGCCTTGGTGAACAGCACCATCTGATCCCCGTGCATCGACTCTTTCACCACGGCACGCCGGTCCTCCAACGCCTGGACGGTGTCAAAGAAATTCGCATCCCGTGTCTGCTTTCCTAAGAGGGGAAAATAAGCAAGATACAAGATCTGTTTAGTCGCCATGTAGTTTTACAACATACTAGGAATGTGTTTACTAGTCAACATTGGACAGGGTGCAGGCCGGGACAAGACAGTGTACACAATGGAGGTGTATAGTAGAAGATAATATAGGATCAAATAGCATAAAATATATATATATATATATATATATATACACACACACTGAGTGTACACAATGGAGGTGTATAGTAGAAGATAATATAGGAGCAAATAGCATAAAATATATATATATATATATACACACACACACACTGAGTGTGTGTGTGTATATATATATATATATATTCACACACACACTGAGTGTGTGTGTGTGTGTGTGTGTGTGTGTGTGTGTGTGTGTGTGTGTGTGTGTGTGTGTGTGTGTGTAGCTGCCGCTCAAAGTGCCCTTCTTTATTGTTTTGTATTTTTGAAGAGTGCTTCATGTATGCTTGAACTTTGTTTAATGTTGTTGAGGCAAGTTTTCTTACCGGAAGTCATGTGACCTCTAGCCCGAATGTTTACAATGTTTGTGAGAGAGTAAAAAGGCGCGAACATTTGTAAATGCCGGTCTAGGCGAATACGTTTTCACGCTGTTTCATAATTGTACCAAGAAGGAAATAAACATGATTGTGAACATCAGTTCGATGTGCAACGTTCTTTAAAGACAAAGTTACAGTGTGTGTACCTTTGCGTTTGGTTGCTGGTAAGGGGGACGAGCAAGCGCTGTGATCTTGAAGGCAAAGCTTGCTTGTTTCCAATCCCGAGAGTTGTCCATCCTCGCCTGAAACACACGATTAGTGCCATGAGTTAGTGAAGCAAATTACAGAAACACTGCACAGTTATTCACAAGTCAAAACGTTTTCATAGCGGCCGAGAATATCTAGCTAGCTAGATGTTATTAGCTAGCTCGGGGCCGGTGTTAGCCAGTTCAGCCTAGCATGGCTAGCTTGATCTACTGAGCAAATAAAGGTACATCTGAGACCATTATTGTGCAGATTAAAACCCCAGTGCATGTAGTTGATTTTACCTTTGTCGTGGTCGTCATCGTTGGCCACTGAATCCGCCGTTTGAGCGGCCTCCCACACCATCGTGCCCGAATCGAAGGTCGATGCTGTCCGGGAGAAAAGGTCTGTGGCCTAGCAGAGCATCCAAGCGCTCGTACCATTTACTGGTCTTCCGGTCATTACCACTCTTGTTATAATAGTCTTTAATTTGTTTGTAGTCCTGCCTGAGTATCTTTATTTTTAGCCGGTATGCCTTGGCGCTGTGCAGGATTCCCAGGTCGAGTGAAAGCTACTGAACTGGCTTCAGTAGCATTCCCTGGGTCGCGTCCTCGGCGTAGATTTCCAGAAGCGCCGACACCTCCTCATCACTCCACCACTTCGATTATTTATTGATGCTTGCCATAACTGCTTTCAAAACAAACTACTCTCCGTTGGTGCGCTGAGTTTTTGTAGCGAGCAAATAAAATGGCGGCTCTACAAATCATTTCAGAGTTTTACGGGGCGCGGTTTGCAATTCGCCCAGCCAATCAGAACTGGGGCACTTTTTTCCCCAAGGAAAGTACGATCTCTCAGCAGGCACTAAAAATGGGGGTAAAAGTTCCCGAGATTAAGTACTCTTTTTGGTGTGAACGCGACATAAGGGGTACTAACGGAACTAAACGCGAAAAGTACGGTGAAAAGTACTCCGGTGTGAACGCAGCTAATGTCATTTTTTTCCGCCTGTTCCTCTGCTGCCAAAGAGCATAACATCAATTCAGATTGAATACAGGAATCAAACAACTATTGCAAAAACAAGGAGACCCATCAACTTATAGTGTTTTTGTTCATTAAGATGCCCTACAGAGAAAACACCTGTGCAGCAACTTCTCCCCTCAAGCCTTTTACTGAGCGAATAAGTGATGCCAGTATCGTTTTTTATTGCACGGAGGAAGAGAGAAATGATTTTTGGATGTTTTTGGCTCTTGATTTTACTTATTAACGTGCCTTGGGAGCACTAATCAGCAACATTACTTTGGATGAATATATAAATCCCTCCAGGCCTAGTCAATACATTTATGCACCTACTGTACAATGGAAAAAATCCTTCCCCTGATGCCTTAGAAACAAGTGTCTTCTTATAAAGTGTGACAATGAGAGATATGAATGCTTGATGTTTTGTGCACACCACTTACAGTAATTTCCCCATTTGTTAAGCAGATTCAGTAACATGTAAACTACAGCCCTACATTAAGCATCCTCACAGGGAATCTTTAGGAGTGCCATTCAGTAAAATTCATTCTATTGCATTTTATTGGCAGATATACTCCTAGCACTTTTGTTTTTCATTGTCTTAGCTATAAAACTTCTGCACTCACTGCCTGTGAGTCTCTTATCTATCTGGCTCTAGTCTTCTTTTAGCCCCTACTGTAGACAGGCTATAGTTTATCTGGTTTTCCTGATGACCTGCCCTGTTTAAACCATGCAGCCAAGTCACAGGAAAGGGGTTACCATTGTGAAACTCAAACAAGAGGGTGGCTTAACTCCACAATGGGCTCAAATACAAGATCCTCTTTTCTGGTTTCAGTCAGACTAACACTTGATCCTTTTAAAGTCAGGGTGGAACCTGAAAGAGACCACATTGATAAGACAAGCTTTTGGGGCAAACCACTGCAAATTGTAGGAAACAGATTCCTTCAAAAAATGCATTATCATAACAACATTTCTCTCAATGTATTGTCACACTTAGTGCTTCCAATGTCCAAAGCTCCTTTACACATTGTCCATGATATTAATACACAATTATATTATTAATTTGTAATGATTCTAGTTCTATTAAAACAAAAGTAAAACCTGTAACCTTAAGGTTGTGTTCTAATTACATATGTACTTTGCAAGTTATAAACCTGAACATATTTTTGTATTTGACTGTTTTAGCAGTTGTATGCAACTTATTAAAGCATCATGCCATTGTGTACTTAATTAAAATTACAAAAGGCACCTTCCAAAAGCAATAGAATAAATGTTAATATTTGGAAGAATTAATAAATGTATATGGTCTGATTGCTAATGCAGAATTGTTATGGTAATGACCAACTTTAAAAATGTTTTATTGCAGAAGCGTTTTTCTCATTTAAAAAATGTTATTTGTTGCTGAAATTAATTTTTGTTATAATTAAAAACAAAACAAAATCCCGACTCAAGGTCCACGGAAAATGTTAAATGTTCTGAATATAGTCTAAGAGGCTAAGAGGTTGAAACTGAAGAAAAGGCCGTAAGTGGACCTTGAATTGGAATTGTTGAGTCCAATAATTGTCGTTAAGGTAAAGATTAATCATCAAGGCTTCGGCGCTTGTTTTTGTATTTAAACTGAGGATATTAAATGGTGATATTATTAAAAGTGCTCTCTATTCGGCCTTGCCCCTTGCTGAATGAGTTGACCAGAGGCTGCAGGACCAGAGGTGGGAGAAGTACTCAGATCGTGTACTTTAGTAAAGGTAGAAGTACCACCGGAATACTCTGCTACAAGTAAAAGTCCTGCATTCAAAATGTTACTTAAGTAAAAGTACAAAAGTATTAGCATCAAAATATACTTGAAGTACCCAAAAGTAAAAGTACTCATTATGCAACTGGATGAATTTCAGAATAATAAATATCATATGTTTATAATTATTGATGCATTAAAGTGTTGTCAAAGCTGGTAAAGGTGCAGATAGTTTTAATTACTTTGTATACTGCAGGTTAGTTTGTGAATGTTACTTAAAGGTGGGGTAGGTAAGTTTGAGAAACCGGCTCGAGATCGCTAGAATTTGAAAATACACAACCGGAGAAAATCTGCCACTTCCTTATAGAGCCCCTCCTCCAACACACACAAACGCGCACATGACCAATGAGGGCACGAGATAAGTTTGTGCACAGATGGAAGGCTGACAGGCAGGTAGGCCATCCAGTTATTTTAGCCGGGCCGGCTAAAATGATTGGTCGTGCTTTTTACAGTATTACGGCTTCCACAGATGACATTTTTGTATGGATTTTTTGTCAAAGCACTTAAGATATTCATTGCTATCGGGATGTTAAGAGCATTCCATGGAATATAACAAAAAGTGTTTCTCGAGCCGGTTTCTCAAACTTACCTACCCCACCTTTAAGTCTTATTTAAGTGTTGACTATAGCCTACTGTATTTCACATCATTAATCCAAATCTGCAAAGTAACTAAAGGTACAGAATGAATACAGTGCAGTAAAAGTACACGATTTACCTCTTAATTGAAGAGGAGTAGAAGTACAAAGTAGCCTAAAATGGAAATACTCAAGTAAAGTACAAGTATCTCAAAACTACTAGTAGGACCAATGTTTCTGTAAGATGACACCATGCAAGAATAAATATAAAAATCCATAACATATTGTGTAATGTTGTTTTAAATAACATAAAATACAAGAAATCTCTTTGATAATATAACTTTAATTTTTTTATTTAAACTTCAGATCGTGCAAATCACCACGATGACAGGTCACTTCCGGTGGCGGTAACCACCTTTGTTTGGTTTAGGAGAACAAGACAAACCAAACGATTTAATTGCAACGGCGGACGAAATAGTTTACCCTAATAGGATTCTCGAAACATCTTCAAAACTGCGGTAAGTGTTGTTAAACGAGTGTCTAGAAGTCACATAACATATCGCAAACACACGGCTGGTACTAGTGAGCTATCAGGTGCAGCACAGGTGCCATGGAGGCAGCAGGAAGCGCACCATAAGAGTCGACAGGTAAACAGACTATACGGATTTGTTCCTTTCAGGACATTTTATATGTTCCCCTAAGCTAATTAACTTGGTGGGTAGGACGGTCTGCGGACTGTAACTGTGAGGGTAAAATGCTCCATGGGTTTTTGTGTGTGTTTTGAACTGCTGCGCTAGCATGTTAAATAGCATGCTAAATCGTTAGCTTTGTTCAACAGTAGAGTTCAATATTAGCTCCCTGCTTTTGTCTAAGAGGCATGCTGTCACAACAGTCTCTAAAGTTATATTACTTTTCCCCGTTTATTCATTACATCACATGCCGTTTGTGTCTTGAACAAATATGCCTTTGCTAAATGTCTAAACTAGCGTAATAGCACGTTATACACATGGTGGTACGGTTATCAGCTAGCACGTCCCTCACACGTGTTTCTGTACACTGAGGTTATATCAGCGTTTTAGCTATGCAATGCAAATAGTGGCAAGGCTCAGTTGGTGGGCATAAATTAAACCTTAATGTATTTACAAGATGTTTTCAATTTTAAAAAGTCTTGCCTGCTTTGCAGCTTTTACACTTATTGGTTAGGAAGGGGGAAAACTGGTCAGCACATCTTTATGCTTGTAGCCGAGACTAATGTTGGAACTCTAATTCTTGTTTCTCACCCGGCACTGCGAACATATGTCTGTTTCAATTTAGACAGTTCTTTGTTAATTTGAAACAAAAAAACAAAATGAAAACATTAACGTTGCCTCAGATACATTAGTTACAACACTTTCAGGAACCACAAAGCACAATAACTGTCTACCCTTAGTGGAATGCAGCTTTAATTATTGTTATTAAATGCACCTGTGTTTTTTTTACTATGACATGTCAAAAATGTCTGCTGTGAAAAACATCTATTGACTGCCAACATTGTATCTGGTGCTACTGCATGTACTGTACTTGTTAGTTTTGAAAAATATATTGAAAGTGTCCTTAGGGAATTGATGGTTGACAGAGAGTATCTTTATACTCTATATGTTCCAATCTGTTATCTGTCGTTTGTGTGGCCTACACCTTTGCTTCAGACTCACTATCCTATTTACTCCAGAGTCACACATATGTGACAGATCAGTTTCAAAGCTGTGTCTGATTACCTTTTCGTTATCTGCTTGCTTTTTGATATAATATGTGTGACCAGGGAAATATTATTCACGCTGTTCTGCTTTGTACAAGGCTCAAGAAGACTACATCTTCTGTCACCAAGTCTTTTTGCCTGTACACCGTCCGTGAAAAGGGAACCTTACTCAGTTAAAAGGAAGTATGCATGCTTTTCCTTAGACCTGTAGTCTCCAGAGTTACTATTCATGAACATATCTTGCTTATGTCAAAAAGAAGCACTACAGCAGAAAACCATTTTTTAGAGCTACTCCAATGACAATATACTTGAGAACATCCATGATGGAAAATGAGTACCATCACCGTTTCAGAATATTTACATTGACTATTGAAGTTTCAGTAATGGTGATATCCCTATCCAGTATAACACATTAGCTTTCAAACTATCATGTTAGAGGTTATGCATCTTTCTTTATTTTTAAAGCAAATAACGTCTTAAGGGAATTTCCTAATTTTGATAAAATGACATCAAAAAGCAAGCAGATAACACAAACGTTATCAGTCACAGCTTTGCAAGTGATCTGTCTAATCTCATTGACTGCGGAGTAAAGATGAAAGTGAGTCTGAAGACATTGAACCGCAATCACTTCCATTTGCTAGCAGCCGCGACGGCATGTCTGGTAATGTTTTCACATTGTGAGTCTGTGTTTGTTATTATGGCAGAATGTGCTCCTGGAGATACCTGCTGCCCACTTTGCCAGGTGTTTATGTCCTTCTGTCTGTGGAGAAGGTTTGCCAAAGTGAAAGCGTCACAACTGTGTGAATCGCAGTTACAAAACTTTACTGGTGTGTAGTTGAGATGGAAATGAAGGCACAGTTCAAGGTGTCAGTGGAAAGGGGTTTGTTGCCTTGGCCTGATTCCTGCGTTTTGGCTGGTGTAATCTTATCGTAAAATGATCTCTTATTAATTTCAATGTATGGAAGCTAGTGCAGGCTGCCCGATTTGGGAAAATATAAAAAAAAAAAATTGAAGTATTGATCATTTTTGTATCGTTCACTTATTGACATTACATTCTTAAAGGATCATGATATGGTTTGCTTTTTGTAACAAAAAGATTATTGCCTTTTAATAGTATTGCTCTTTCTGCAATTTGGATACCGCACTGGTCAATTTTGTGATTTCATGACATTTCGATTAATTGTTGGCCTTATTAACTTGTGGCCACTGGTGACTGAGTGTGTGTGTGTGTGTAGGACAATGTGATTTTAACTTGTCTTAATCAATGGCTTTGACAGATAAAACATATGATTTCCAATTAGCTGCTATCACAGCACCACACTGTGATAACACCACAGGAACAGAAAAACACATTTTTAATTAATTATTTGTATTGATTAATAATACGTTTTGGCTCGTGAACACTGCTGTTCTGTAGATGTCGAGGCCAGAGGCCTGTACTACGAAGCCGGATTTTCCTAACCTGGATATGTTTGAGTTAGCCGGTTGGCCCAATCCAAAACATACGCGCTCTCGCTAAACTGTACTACGACGCTGGTTATCAAGTGGATCGCTCAAGCCAGCCGTGTCCTATCTAGTGCGCGTTCACATGAAAGGGGTGGTATTTGGAGCATTCGACCAATCTCAAACATGGACAAGCCTACTGACAGCGCAGCGTCATACTTCCTGAATGAAAAGTGAACTTTAATATTAGTCAAATATGAAGAAGTTAAACTTTAAACATCCATGACTTAAACACTTTATCCAGGATAAAAGCCACATAGCTGCACCTGCAAGGTGAATACAGCTGGTAAAAGAAAAAGCGTTTGAATGCGTACATTAATAGGTTTATGATATCACCGCCCCGTCCAAGACACGAGTGGATCTGACTTTAATTACATTTGACTCGAGTGTTTCGTCAACTTAATGTGTTGCTTAAAATAATACTTCTGCATACAGTATGTGACACTGTGAGTGTTGCACGGCCAGATACGGCTCAAGAAGCTGACTCAAATAAGGAAATATATGATGCATTATGATGTGATATGATATGAATGATAATGGGACACATCGACGTCTGCACTCACAGTGCCGCGGACTGTACTTAATGTTACTCTGATCCGGTTACTTATGTCGTGGCAGATATTTAAGTAAGCTTTCTTAACGCTAATATTATAATAGTCAGATTGCTCTGAAGATGAGAGGGGATATTCTATTAATTTTCACGTTCACACAGTCAGTTGATTTTTGCCGGCCGTCTTTCCTGCAACGGCAGTTTTTCTGTATTTCCTCTATCCTGTAATATGACTTGATAGCTTTAAACTCCGCACACGGAGCTCTGATTGGTCAGCAGGCGGCGCTTTCACTGAGTTGATCTCTTAGCCTGCAACCTAACCTCCTCCTGAGGAGGTTAGCCGCTCAGCATAAGTTACCATGGAGATCTAGCCCGCTAAAAAGAGAACCAGCGTCGTAGGACCGGAAAGCCCGAGTTTTCCCTGAAGTCAGCCGGCTAAGCGAAAATCCGGCTTCGTAGTACAGGCCTCTGGTCTCACAGAGCTCATCTGAGATCTGGGAGTTCCCCCCTCCCATAGTATACATCATCAACCAAAGTTATATTATTATATCATGGAATTTCCTGTTACTTGAATCTGCATTTGGCTGAGAGAAATTGAAGAAAAAAAAAAAAACTGATAATGTGGCAGAATTGTATAACAGTACCAGACTATTGTGTATAGATCGAACCATTTTCTCACATTACTGGTTATGTCTGAACTCTATTTTATTTACAGCATTATCTGCTTCACTAAGCCTTGAAAGAGAAATCATTATGTGTCTAGGAGCCCAACTGTCTGAGCTTTTGGGGCTATGAATACTTCTGGGGATGAAGTACTTTGTTGTCTGCTTAACGTTTCGCCGTCTGTATTTGAATTTTTTTCTACGTAGATTTAAATGCATTTTGATGACATGATATAAATTTGAATTTGATTAACTACTGTTGAAGTTGGTTAGAATCAGTTAAGCTTGACTATTTAGGCCCCGGCCACACGAGGACGATAACGGTCGTATCTGCTACAGTTCACAATCAGATAGACGGTTCGGCCACACGAGGCCGACATGGAAACGCAGAAAACGATAACGGGTCCCAAGGTGGGTAGATCTGCAAACGAAACGCTCTGGGGGGGCAAACGGCTCCATGTTTACGCCTATACGATCATTTCCTGATAACGTTGAAGCAATAGCCCCGCCTCTCCCCACCTCTCCTGCTCAGAGATCAGCTGCTGGGCTGTCAGAAGAGGGGGAGGAAAAGAGAGGCTCCGTTTTTTATTCTTATATTATTATATAGTCGTTATCAATTTGTTTTAAAGGAGAGGTGTCATGGCCATTTCCACTGATCATAATTCCATTGTTGAGGTATACTAAAATAGATTTATACTGTGCATTTTTCCAAACTCACATTGGTTTCTCATACAGCATCTCTGTAAACTACTTGTATTCACTGAATTTCACTCTCTGCTTTTAACGGCTCGTTGTAGCTCCCAAAGCTCCAGCCCCCACCCTCCCTGTGAGCACAGTGTGCTCTGATTGGTCGGGACGTTGTGAATCGCGCTGAGCTCCGTGGAGGTGTTGTTTCCTTGTTTAGGATACATAGCGAAACACAGCCAAACTCATCCTGAGCACACACAAACTCACATCCGAAGTAAAAACAATAAGTGTGGCTTGATATTGAGTAAGAAAAAGGTTGATAAACGCTGTGAGAATGGGTCTGCAGAGAGAATTTTGCCGCGATCCCAACTGTCTGTTATCAGCCTGCAGCCAGGGAGGAGAAATCAGCAGACCTGCCTGTGTGTGAGGAAGTCGTGGATTGGTCAATTTGGACCAATCAGCGGGGGCTTAACGTAACGGCTCCGCGGACGTAACGTAACGGCTCCACGG